TTAGGATGTTTTGGTTTTGTATATATAGATAGAAAGATAGATAGACACACACACACATGATATTAACAGCAAATTATTAACTGACATCATGTTAAGAAACTGAAGTATAGAAATACGAAAGGATAAAACTTTAAAAAAATTCAATGAAGGCAACTTGTGTGAAATGGTTAAAACCGAAAGTAAGAACAAAGCTTAAAACACATAACACAGACTTTATTCAGCTGGTGGTCAAATAGTTTCTACTGTGCATTTTAAGTGTTGCTCTTACTTGTAATTTTAAATAATTTAAAATTGCAAAACTTGACAAATCAAAAGTGAAAGAGAAAAAGTATCGCTACTTAATAACATGAAACTTACAGAACTTTGTTTCTTTCTTTTTCCAATACCTTCTATTTTAAAAATTATCGCTACTTAATAACATGAAACAAAATAGGAGGTATTGGAAAAAGAAAGAAACAAAGTTCTGTAAGTAGTAGCCAGTCTTAGTTTCCAGTTTAGTTTTCAAAATTTCTCTGTGTAACTCATTTGTATAGCCCCCACCATTTACTAATAAATTTGTTTCTTACACTCTTTCATGTTATTTCTCTTCTTTTTGTACACTGGGAGGCAGTCATTCATGCTATAATCCCATGAAAAGCCATCCTAAACACTTGCATCCAACTTATCCTTATAGAAGGGACTTCCTTCCGAGAGCTCTTGGAATTCTTTGACAGCCATTCAACTCTTATAGCTGCCATGTGATCATATTTCATTTCATGGTTGGAGCCCGTACATAGTCACTCCAGTGTTACTCCTACCTTATGATCATGTTACACTTCATAGTTGGAGTACTTACATAGTTACCCCAGTCTTAAACCTACCATATTATCATCTTCCACTTATAATTGGAGTTCTTCGGACAACATTTTTGGTCCATTTGCCTTTTAAGAATGGCTCTTGTATGTAATTTTCCATGTCTGATTGAAGTATGTAACTACATTGCTAGACCAAGAATGTTTTGTTAATAAATCATGATTCAAGCTTCAGAAATCTCATATTCAGCATGCATTTTGTGTCTGATAATTATATGAGCTAAGTATTTCGATAAATAAACTTTTTGTTAAATTGAAGTAGTGATTTTCATCTGTCCAATTTCCATTTTTTTTGTGTTTTTTTTTTTTATAAACAGATGGTGAGAGGGGTAGTAGCAACAAAACTAAAAGCTCAAAGTCTAAATCCAGAAAGTCTCTTCCTCTTCTTAAAATTAAAATAGGAGGTATTGGAAAAAGAAAGAAACAAAGTTCAGTAAGTTTCATGTTATTAAGTAGTGATACTTTTTCTTTACAAGAAGAAAGTTCTTTTGGATAGTTTTTTTTTTACCATTACATGTTTAGGAGATATTGCTGGATTGTGTGACAGTTGTCATTGACTTGCACTTGTCAGATCCAAACATCAGTCTGCTTGTGAATGATGTTACCCAAATGGAACTGGAACCCATAACAAGACATAATAGTAAGGCATTCATAGAAAGCTGTGAAGAATAAAAAAAGCTTTGTGGGAATATTGAACATCTGGTGCCCGAGCTCATTTTTCTCAGTACTAGTTAAAAAAAAACAAAAAAACTTGATGCAGTACAATATGTTCTTTTATTGATTTTCTTTAGACCTGAACTTCACAAGCTGACTGTTATATGACCAAGATAAGCTTTTGGATCATAGTATAAGTGTTATGACATTCAGATTTGATATAACCCTTTGAATCCGAATAATTAAAACATGCATTATTGTGACACATTTAAATTTGATATAAACTTGGAAACCTCTGAAGAATGAAAGTAGAAGCATTGTTGTGACACATTTAAAACTGATATAAAGTTTGGAATCTCTGATAATGCAAGGACAAGCAGTACTGTGACACATTTAAAACTGATATAAGCTTTGAATCTCTTAAGAATGAAAGCATAAGTGATATTTTTTTTTCAATGACTTTTCATTTTGTCTTTGACTTGTTTAATTGATTTTGAATTGTGTCTACCAATCCACATTTCTGACACACACTCACACTCAGGTTACATCATACACTTCTATGCATTTGTGTCTATCATTAAGAGTGACAGAAATAGAATATTGATAATAAGAAATCACATAGGGTCAAAAATTATATATCTCACAAGAGATGACTGGTTTATTTTATATCTAGTCTATTTTATTACTCCTACATCTTACATTATTTTTTATAATGTTTATTATTTTCATTATTAACATTTTTATAGGCCTTTTTATTTTATTCAAATTATCAACATATTTTTTATCATTGAATGTATTATTTCTTGTTTCATTTATTTAATATATGCTTACCCTTTGGTTTTGTTTTACATACTTTCAGGAAATAGTTTTTAAAAATGAGTTTCTTTTATCCATGAAAATTATACCAAGTAAGGTACAACAGTAGATTATATTAGCAATGTTTATAATTTCATCTTTCTATTAGTAAGGTACAGCAGTAGATTATATTAGCAATGAAATATACATGTGCATACTTAGCAAGTCAGTTTTCTTGGTCATGAGAATGTTTTAATTTATACCAGAAAGCTAGTTTTATTTTAATTTTTTACACTTACAAAGGGCATAATTCCATATTTGTCAGTTAATATTCATTGGACATAAAAAGGAAGTAGATCGTGTTTAACACCAAATTTAGGTAGTAAATTAAATGAAATATAGCAGATTAGACAATTAATAATTTTTTAATACTTCATACGTAATCATTAACTTTGGCTTTGCGGTATGAAAATAGAATAATTAATAGCATACCAGCTGCACTTTGTTCTAGATTATATGATATTTTTTTTCCTCCAAACTGTTAAGGTAAACAAGGTTTTAATGGTAGAGTTGGTGTTGACTGAAATTATTTCTAAACAAGTAATAAAGAAAAATTAAGTTACACAGTTTATTATGCTGTGTCTTTGTCAGAATCCTAACAACTTTAATGGAATTATTTCTAAGTGGTTCAATTAATTAGTATAATCGTTACATGTTTCTATTTGGACAGACATAACTAATCCAAAAGCTGCATGTCATGGTCATGTGGATCTTGTTATATAGAATACTTACATGAAATCAGATGATAGTTTCAAAGTTTAACATTACTTTTGTGATTGTTGTTCTTGCTTTTAATGTTCGTTATGTTTGGCAAAATGTTTAACTTGGTATGTCTATTTGAATGAATATCTAGGTTATCATTTGTCTAACAGTTAAAATAGTTTGAATTTTTAAATTTCTAAAAAAATTCATTTTATGGTATCAGCGCAAACTATTTTTGGTTTGCATGATGCAGTATTAAATAATACATTAAATCGATTGCTAAAAATTCACAGCCGCAGAAAACGTCGGCAGACATTTGTGCCGAACATGGTCTGCAGGATGTGATATTGGAATACACTGAAGCAGACTACCAAAATCTGACTAGCTATAAACTCTTCTCCCAACACATCCGACCACTCATTGCCAAAGCCAACCCAAAGATTGCCATGTCCAAAATGGTGACTATCATATCAGCTAAGTGGAGAGAATTTCTTCAAAACAGCCAGGAGAAAGAAGAAGATTTTCAAGCTAACCAGGAAGAAAAGGAGAAACCTTCCACGCCTACTCCTCGATTCAAAGGTTCCAAAGATGGTAAGCTGACAGGGAATAGTAAGACAATTATAAACATTGCTAATATAATCTACTGTGTACCTTACTAATAGTAAGACAATTATAAACATTGCTAATATAATCTACTGC